GATGATAATAAATTGTAATAACTAAGAACTCGTCTGAACTATTTTTTTATGCAAACTAAGTCTATGAGTAGCACAATTTTCTCTAACAATTTACTTAGTTCAGAAATCAAACTTGTAAAAACGCGTTAAACTTCTTGAAAAACGAAATCGGAAAAATGTACGCTTTTAGCCATTTTATTTTCAGTAAAATTTTAACGCGTTTTTCTTTCGTTTTTTGTCTAACTGAGTCTTATCCATATATAATCCAGATAATGACTTCTTATCGAACTTCTGAACTAATAGCTTATGAAAAAACCATATTTTTGAACTTCGACTTCGAACTTTGTATACGTGAAGGTCTCAACGAGACTATCTCATATACGAAACTTCATTTATTTTGAGTATTACAACGTCAGGATGTGAATTTCTCAAAAAGTATACACTTTCAAGTGTTATGCAAAATACAGATATTTTGAGAAATTCATATGCTGACATTGCAGTACTGGAAATGAATGAAATTTTGTGTATGAAATAGTCTCATTAAGGCCTTCGCGTATACAAGGGTGTGGGTGTGGGTGTGGGTGGGTGTGGGTGTGGGTGGGTGTGGGTGTGGGTGTGGGTGTGGGGTGTGGGTGTGGGTGTGGGTGTGGGTGTGGGTGTGTGGGTGTGGGTGGGTGTGGGTGTGGGTGTGGGTGGGTGTGGGTGTGTGGGTGTGGATGTGGGTGAAAAGAAGAATCGCACCCACACCCTAGGATATCCATTTTGGGTATCCACTCTCAGGGATATCGTGACTAATATCTCCCCGATACCCAACCGTTGGATATTATGACATCTCTGTTGAAATGGTAACATCTTCTCAATCTTCAATTAAATCAAGAAGTAATGATGATGAATGTAAAAAGGAAAAACTTACTATCGATGATCGAAACCGATCAACTAATTCAACATTATCAAATCCATGTGCTCTTTGTCTGACAGACGAAAAGCAATTAGCTTGTATACCATGTGGTCATTCGTTGCGTTTGTGTCCAATATGTCGACGAGAAATCAGTGCATTTGCTAGAATTTATATTTAACAAAAACTGATTTTCATGTACCCATATTCGTTCTTGAAATTTTTCTTTGTAGTATAGCTTTTATTCTCTGCTTTCGTAATTTCTACTTAGAGGGTGGGTGTCCATGTGAGTATCGATCGTCTCTGCATGTAAATCGACACTGAGACCAGAGCTCTGCATGGGATGGGATGGGATATAAAATTTTTTCGTTCCATCTTATGAGACAACTGAAATGTCAAATACCTTTTAAAAAGTAAATATTATTTAACTATCATTGCTCTAGTAAGACTATGAATTATCATACCATTTCATATCATATTTTATGATTTGATTAAAATAAAGTTTATAGTTTGTATTCCCGTTTTTTTTCTGCTCATTTACAATAAAGTAGTCCTGCATCGGAGTCAATTAATTTCTCTGCTGAAAATTCAGTTCTAACGGTATTTCATCAAGGAGTATCAACTTGATGAAATATCATTAAAATTATCATTTTACAAAATTGAACAAAGAAATAATAAATGAGAAAGAAAAGGAATGCATCTTAAAACTGGACATGTTTTGATAGATACGGATCCTTATAGAGATTTTATTTTTGACTATATTCGATCATACAGTTGAGTACGACATCTAAACTGAAACGATTATACTTTATTCAGCAAAAGAATAGGTTCATGTTAATATTCTTCGTCCCATGGGACGATAGAATGGGACTGTACCATTCTACGTGGAACTCTGGTTGAGACTGCAAAATATTTTGATCAAATAATGAATATCGACAATAGAATTGGACATGACTATTGCAGGTAAAAAAGTTAAAACGACAATATGCACGATTTGAGAAACTATTACAGATACATTGTCTTACCATCGCCATTCTTGATAAATCTTTCTGGTATGGGAACAGTCCGTCTATAAGTTGGGTGTGGGTGTGGGTGTGGGTGAAGAAGTAATACTACCCACATCCATACCCCACCACACTCACACCCACCCTGTGTTGATCTCGATGGAAGTAAACATAATGTAAGAAATGATACACATTCATTATTTTCTCTTTACTAAGTAATGAGTCGATTTCCTCAAGTATGTTTTCACATATCAAAATGATATTCGATTTTTGTATTGCATTACTAATTTGTATAACTACGTGTAATAAATAAACTATGTTCAACACATCTCAAATGGAAAAACATAAAGATATTGTTATTTGAATTTTAGTTTCAAAATATTCGATGTATCCATTTACTTAATTGATCATCATTATAACAAATATGAAGAATTCAAGAATATATTGCGATGATCTTGAAAAATCTATTTTCCTTAACTAATTATATAAAATTCATCGATATAAATCTCTATATCCGATAGTACGGTATTCATTAATTTTTTTCTTTCGAAGCATATCATGAACGTTTTGGACTAAAAATATAATTTGCCTGTTGAACTATGTCAAATTACTCATGTTTATTGACATCAGAAAGGGTTTAGATGGAGCTGAATATAGATGATGAGAAGACCTGTGTCCAAATTTATATTAAATAAAAATTATTCCAATCACAAACATGCAGATGATGTATGTATAAAACCAATCAAACCAAGAAATTATGATTGGAGACAATTATAAGTTCGCTTGCCACTTTTGCCATTAACTAATATATTGCTTTGTTGATTCATACTCTTGCCCAACCACAAATGTATTGTACAGTCATCTTCAGGATCTATACGTTCATCCAATATATCTGGCTGTAGTTTGTATTGAACATCTCGATGCATATTGGAAATCGATTGAATGATCTCATGATTAAAATATGATCCTTTAAGTGGCCGAAATGTAATGCTTGATAAATGTTCGACACATTGTAAGATATTTTGTCCGTCATTCACATTTTCGATATCTGTTTCGAGGCGTCTGATATGATCAGGTAATTTCAAACAGATAGCATTAAGAGTTTTCGAAATTGTCCTCACAAGGCTACTATAATTTATTTCAATTGAACGAAGATTCCTTGCTCGATTGAGTAGAGTGTCCATTTCGACAGTCAAATTAACAATAAAATTGCACTCACTATTGAAATTCAAACACAATTTTTTCAGCTTTGACACATGGACAATTCTTGTGAGTTGTTTAATTGAGCCGATGGGCCATTTTTCATTTATTATTAATTTAAGTTCTGTTACATTTTGAAATAAATAACTCATTCTTAGATTAGTCTAAAAAAAACGGAAATTAACAAAACTTTTCAAGAAATATAATAGTGAAATGAAACAAATTGGTTTCAAAATATTCTACATTAATTTACATATTTTTAAACACTTTATCTTCATCAATCGGTCCGAATGTCTTTTATTAAATACTGTATATGCGGATAAGGTTGTATATTCCTTTAAAGAAAAAACTCATTTATGTTTTGACAGAAAATGACTTCATCAGAATAGTATTCAGCAGAGGTGTTCATATGATGACTATTTTCGTATGCCCTATTGAATTGAAACACTATCTGTTGTTGCTCATCATATCATGAGTCATTTCTTCATTTCAAACTATTTTACGAAAACAGCAAGCTCATTGTTCAAATCATTACAGATACGAGTATGAAAAACAAAAAAAAGCGAAATGATATCATATGTATAATTTACATTTATCAACGTGACTATTTGAATTTCATTCAAAAAATATTCAAGAGCACGGACAAAAAATAAAATTGAGAAAGAAGATATATGACTGCCCATGTCTACAACTTTTACAGAAACTATTAAAATCGATTGAGCTTATTTTAAACAATTGAAATTCTTCAATGATGAGTATCACCGAATTCGGAAAATTCTATTGATTCTTTTCTTTTTGATGAGTTTAGACAGAAGATCGATTCTTGTAATCGTTTAACAAAAAGTTAGTACCAAACTTGTGAAATTGTGTTCAGTCCTATCGTAGAAACGCCTCTGGCACTCACTGTATGTATTAATACATCCGATTTACTATTAGAATGCTCACATGATTAGCAGATATGCTTTGTACTATCTATTAAAATATAATAACCTTAAAGGAACTCGTAATCTTATTCTACTGCGAACTACATATTAAAAAACCTGATGAATGTGTTCATATAAAACAGAACTATCTCATAAAATCTCATCCTTCAATCAGTTTTATTCTAAAGTTCCACTTATACGAAAATCTTCATTTAACTAACCGAGTGTTATATCTGTTGAGCATCTCGTCTATCTATGTTTACTACTAAAATGTGTACGTTAACTTTGAGCCACTTAAATTACTTGATGGATCATTCGTTGGGGGTGTAACGATTCGTAACGAGAAATTTACAGGGCTTTCGTAATACGAAAGCCCTGTCATCGTTTTTACTACAGGGCTTTCGTAACGAATTTTGACAGGGCTTTCGTAACAAATTCTGACAAGGCTTTCGTATCAATTTTTGACAGGGCTTTCGTATCAAACTTATACAGGGCTTTCGTATCGTTTTTGACAGGGCTTTCGTAATCAAGTTCTTATTGCATTCATAACTAAAATGAAAGACTGGTACTAAAAAGAACAGGGCATTCGTTACGAATACCCATGCTTACAAATATCGCGTAAGTCATTAAGTGGGATCCATTCGTAACAAGTTTTATATACTTAAATGGTCCAAATACATGGTACTATACTGTGAATGAATTATTTGTATACATTCATAGATGTCGTTGTTATTTCTAGTTCTCTATGTTTTTCCAGAATTGTGTACGCCTTTTTTTTGTTAAAGTTGCTGACTTAAAATCGAGGAAATCAATTATGTGTATTCTTAATTCTATTATCTTGATATTGTTCTCGTTCACTCTTCTCTCTTTATATATTGCCTGGTTTTTGTTACTTTTTGTTGTTACTAAGAAAGAGATTTACAAGAAGATAAAAATTTGTCTATACTTATATTCTGGTTCTCACTTTCTACTGTTGAACTATTTATGTTATAATTTTGGTAGATCACTAATTTCAATATGAAATCCTGTCAGCAACATCTGCCGAAAGATCATACCAAATCCTTTTACGTTACGATAGCCCTGTAAGAACGGTACGAAGATCCTGTAAGACCGATACGAAGACCCTGTCAAAATTGTTACGAAGGCCCTGTAAACTTGATAGGAAAGCTCTTTAAGAAATGATACGAAAGCTCTGTCTAAAACGATACGAAAGCCCTGTCAAAAATCGATACGAAAGCCCTGCTTTTTATGATTTATGCATTTTACATTGTTACGAAAGCCCTGTTCCTTACTGGGCTTTCGTAACCAACCGTTACGAATCGTTACCTTCCCCATTCGTTGAAAGGTTTAATTTAAAAGTAGAAATGAAAAATTCTCTCCTCAACGATAGTTTTGTCGAAGAATTATATGTCGGACAAGAAGCAGCTGGGCTTGAAAATATAAAATAAGTCGTACCTTTCGCTGGATAGTTTGAATCATCATTTCATTCAAATCTATCGATAATTGGTTTGCATTGACCGTAACTATTGTATTGTTGTCAGTGGTATTCAATGCCGAACATTGGATTTTAATTTGTTGATGAGAATAATCAAAATCATCTCGACAGTTTGGTATTGAATATAGATAAAATACTTCAAGATTTTCTTTATATTCAGAGTCACATTTAACAATCCAATGTTTAACTTCGAGCCAGAAAAGTGTTCGAAATGTTGCAATCACTGTTTCTACAGTAATCTCATCTGAATTATATTGTGCATAATTCGAGAACCAAAAGTCAAATTTTTTCAATAAAGGTAATTTTGTTTCAATTAAATTTTCTAATCGAGAACCATCAAAGAATAATGGATCACTGTAACCTTCATGATTGATTAATTGAAGATGTTCTAGTCTGGGAAAAAATGATAGAAGTACCTCAACATTATTAAATTTTAATTCAGAACTCTTCAAAAAAAGTGAAGATAAACAATTGAATTGAGTCGTATCAAAATTTGTGATAATAGTCTTATCTAAATCATACCATTTCACATCTTTCATAACTAATGTTCGTAGATGAGGTAAGTGACTAAGAACCAATTTAATTGTATTCCAACTACAACGATGAAAAATTGTCAAATGTTCCAATCGACAATCTATGGGCCATTCAATTCCCTCAAGAAGCCAACTACTTGCTGAGAATTCGAATTGACGAAGATAACTATTTGATATGATAGATGACAACAATTCTTGTAGATTCATGATATCATCGAATGTGAGGGATATTGAAAATTTTCTAAGAGGACATTGCACAATATGTGTTTGAAATTCATCAAGCTCCTTTTCTACATTAATAAGTGTCAATGAATGTAATCGAATGAACTGTTCAATATGAAATTGAGAAATGAATAAATTAATTTGATCACTTGTATGTATTGCATTTGAAAGTGTAAGTGACGTAACATTTTTAGGATTGATAATGCGCGCTATAAGAGTTAGATCAGATCTGAACATATAACGGAAATCCAAATCATAACGATCATAGATGTTAGTAATTGAATAGAGCTGTTTACACACGTGACGAATAACAAAAATAATTGTCTCTGCATCGATATGATCGAAAATTCGATGAATAAGCTCAATCGGTAATGTTAGAAGATAGGATTTATTTTTCCATGGCATGATTCGTTTTACTAAGAATTTATGAGCGTGTTGTTTTGTTTTTCAACTATATATAACGATTGCACACACGCGTCGAATGTTGTAAAAAAAAAGGTAGTAGCATGTTATAGACAAATGTGTAGAACGGAAAAAACAAAGTACGTGAATATTTATTCAACAATATGTCACGAAACAAACGTAATTATTACTCATAGATTCACCTTGTGAATATTTCAAAATGAGAATGAAATAAATGGGTTTTTTTTCGGAATAATAACAACATGAATGTTAAAATTTTTTCTATAATAGTAAATTGAAAATCCCTTGTGATTGAAATAACATAAATCTGATTTTATTGATGATCGATGTGACTTCCAGTACAAGTTTTCTCTACTATTTTATGTATATCTTTATCGAAAATGAACGGTACATATTAGGGTGTGGGTGTGGTTTGGAATCGTCTGTTCTCTCACACCCACACCTACACCTCACACTCCATACCCACACCCACACCCACACCTCACACCCACACCCCTAAAGCGAATTGTATCTATGGATTGATGGAGACATAATGCATCCAATGGATTTGGCTCTTGATTTTTATCAAAACTTTCCTTTTCATTACATATGTTTGCAAATCATTTGTATTGAATCAAACATGAAATTCATTCATTACCCTAGTGAATGTACTGAGCTAAGGGTACCCGAAAAAGTACCCTGCTACTAGTATGTCACAGGTACTTTCGGGTACTGAAGTACCTTAAAGTACTTTTAGGTACGTATAAGGTACTCGACCAAGTACCCTGCTGGAAAGCATCCAGTAAATGGGTACTTGAAGGTACTGATCAAGTACCCAATAGGGTACTATTGTTCAGTAATTTTGGGTACCCTGTTGCCAAACTTGCAGTATGTTGATGATCGAAACTAACCTCTGGCTTTTTTTCATTTTTGTTTCTCTCAAAGCAATTTATGGAGAACCGGAACGATGAGCACGAGGAACGATGAGCACGGAAACTTAAGCACAGGAACGATAAGCACGAGAATGATCAGCACGGGAACGATAAGCACGAGGAATGTTTAGCACGAGGAACGTTAAGCACGAGGAACGTTAAGCACGAGGAACGTTAAGCACGGGAATGTTGAGCAACAAAAAGTTCAGCACGAAACAAACTTAAAGGCATGGATGTAAGTGTTGGTGTGGAGTTATGCGTTGGTGTAATTCTGATCTTCTGTGTAGACGTGGACAACATGGTCCTCGACCCGATCCCGCAGGGTTCGAGACCAAAAACGATTGGTTCCGCTCATCTCGGATTCTGTGCCATCTAAAACACATTCACAATCACACGTTTGCCCCCTCCCACCCCCCCACATACATCCACTAGAGCTCATCTATACCTACACAGACTCCACTTAGTCCTGTTCTGAACATTTAATGTACTGGGTTCGGAAAAAAATTTTTTCGGGTCCGATGGGCTCTACTCACAAAAGATTAGTTAATTAGGCCCGAATTCAGCAATAGTGATCGATTAGGTTCGAACAACGTTTATCGACTAGGTGCCAAAAAATTTAATCGGTCGGTTAACTTGGGGTCCAGAAATTCTTGGATTTAATGGTTTCTACAACCCTGACATTCATATATACAAGCACACTGATACTCGCACCCTTCAAATTTTTATTTTTGTTAAGGTCCAGGTCCTTATGTAAGTTCAGACAAGCGTGCTCCCATAGCTCCCGAAAACCCACTCACATACACCACACCCATAGCTCAAGTCCTTATTATTTTTCGTGCTGAACTTTTCGGTGCTCAACGTTCTCGTGCTTAACGTTCCTCGTGCTGAACATTCCTCGTGCTTATCGTTCTCGTGCTGATCATTCTCGTGCTTATCGTTCCTGTGCTTAAGTTTCCGTGCTCATCGTTCCTCGTGCTTATCGTTCACCAATCCCAATTTATGATATTTTTTCGATTTTATTTTATTTTATTTTTCCAATTCTGAAAAGTCAAGCAGATCAAATTTCGAGATCTGACCGGATGCGAATTGGTCGGATCTCCATCAGACCACTTCAAGGTAGTCCTCCCTCAATCTACGATTGAGATCAGCATGTCCTCGACTAGTAAATAGTCAAGAAAAATAATCTAGAAAAAATTAGTATGAAAAAATACTTTTTTCTTATGCTTCCTCGAGTTGCTTATATGAAGCCGTATATGCAAAAGAAAATGGTGAATGAACAGTTGCTATACAGAACGCAACAAATCTAGGGTACCCTGTAGAGCTTTTCCTAGTAAAATTACAGGTGTGGGTACTCATGCAAGTACTTGTTCAGTAAACATACTGCAATGGGTAC